ACGGAAGAACAGAGTGTATGAAACATATCCAAACAGACTTTCTTCGCATGTAGATTAATAACAATTCCTACCAAAAGGAAGTAAGAGAAGGATTCTTAAGCAGTGATTTCAATGTGATAAGCAAGGAGCACTCTGCAGCTGTGAAAAGTGTATCCTTGTATGATTCTGGATAACAAACGGTTTCTTGAAGTTAGAGAACAACATTCTGGAGTTAAGAGTCAGGTATTAAGTAATCCTGACTCAATTAGCTGCTTTGAACCGACATCTTCCAACACCCCTGAAACTGTCTGTCATGGACACTGAAGAAAGAACCAGAGAGGGCCCCAGAGAGAGGAAGGGCAGGGCTCTACACCCAACCCCCGAAGCATGAGTTGGAGTCCCAGCTTTGCCCTTCATCAGCTGCAGGACTTGGGCACATCGTCACTCAACCTCTGAGCATATTAGGGGGACTGGCATGAGGCCCACACCTGCTAGCTCCTCAGTGCACATGAAGGAGTAGTGGTCTTGCACAGCCCTGGGCTGGACTGTAAATTTCTCTCACCTTCATCTGCTCTCAACTCAGCTCCTGCAGGCACTAGGTGTTCAATAGATATTTGAACTGATGGGAACCTTCTCACTTTTTTCTTCCCCTCTTCCCTTCTAGACCCTTCTGTGTCCCTTCCTTTCTAACAGCTGTATTAACAGAGGGAACAATTCTCCCATTTTCAGAGGTCCCTGCAGGAAACCAAAGCAATCCTTCCTCCAATAAAACCACCTTGCTCTAAATTATCTAGACAGTGGCTGCCTCTCTGTATTCCCCAGGGAGACTGGATTCAGCAGCGCTTCCCCAACTCTCAGGTGAGGGGAACCTGAAACCTCTTTATGACCCAAGGAAGAATTTGGCAGAGATTCCCTCCCTTCTAACATTCTAAGGTTGAAAGCAAACAGAGGCTTTTTTTTCCCCCCTTTATCATTTCCTGTAGTCTAAAAAATGAGAGGAATGCAAACATTGACGAAACAGTGTACTTAAGCACCAGGTAATAAACAGATTTAGCAAGAATGGCCATGGCCAAGGGAGGAGCCAGATAAGCCGTGCCCCTGTCCCTGCTCCCTCTGACTCACGATCATCATCATCCATATTCGTGACAATCCCGCAGACCATCCAGAAGCCACCTGGGCTCCTCACCCAAGTGCTCCCAGGCTTCACTTCTTGCTCCTAAATCCTTCTATCTGCTGGTTCTGAGCCAAGACATGCATTATTAACATCGTTCTCACTTTTCCCCACTTCCTCATTCATTTCTCCCCATCTGCTGCAAATTCTAGGTGGCTTTTTGGTTTTTCTTTAACTTTAAATTTGTTTTCTGCACGAATGTAATAGAAACCAAGAGAATAAAAAAGGCCCCCAAATGCCACCACTCTTAATTTATTGTCATTGGCCCAGGTTTCCTTCTGGTAACTGACCTTAAGTAGACATCATTTCCATATTAAGGAGAGCAATGGTTAAAAGTGGGTGTGGGGGGGCCGGCCCAGTGGCGCACTGCAGAGTGCGCCGCTTGAGAGCGCGGCAGCGCTCCCACCGAGGGTTCGGATCCCATGTGGAGACCGGTTCCTGCTCACTGGCTGAGTGCGGTGCGGGCGCAACACCGAGGGTTGCGATCCCGTTGCCGGTCCCCGGTGCGGGCGTGACACCGAGGGTTGCGATCCTGTTACCGGTCAGTAAAAAAGACAAAAAGGAAAACAAAAAAGTGGGTGTGGGGACCAGGAAGGCCTGAATTTGAACCCTGGCTCAGTCACTTTCTCTGTGCCTCAGTTTCTTCCTGGGAAAATGGGGGTAGTACTAGTCCCTAACCCACTGGGCTGCTGTAAGATGTAAATTAGAGCAAGCACATAACATCCTTAGCCCAGCATCTGGCACGCGGTCGGCGTTTCTACAAACATAAGCTGCAGTTATGGTGGGAGGCAGAGAGTAGATATAATTTTCTACTCTGCCTTTTCTCACTTTAGATCATATAATAAGCATTTTCCAAGTTACTTTTTCCTATTAAGGCCTGCTTTTTTCTGAACTGCAGACCCAAGACTGAAGATAAAGCTGAGGTCCTATTTAGTGTTGGGGACCCAACGAAAAGAATAATCATTCTCAGTGGCTGCAAAATGTTATCTCAAAGGGCTCTGCCTCGACTAAGCTGGCCATTCCGTGGGGTCTGATATTTGAGTAGCTCTCATTTTTTCACTTGGCTAAACAGCATCACTGTCAACATGTCTCCACCCACAGCCTGTTCATTGCCTTGGGGAGAGAAGAGGTAGAAGAGGGGTTGTCAATTTCATAACATCTTTCTGAATAAGGAGTCTGAGCATCTCTTTTTTCACTTTCTAAACATGTTGCCAGATTGCTCTCAGAAAAGCTGTACCAAATTTACACTGTCGTTGGCAGCACTTTTTGACAAGCACTACTTTTCACACTAATTTACAGTTTTTCTCTTGGATCTGGAATTCTCACCCCGGGTGGTTCTCCTGTGAGGCATATAAAAAGATGTCTGAGTGATGGCTGTCACCAAAGGGGAGTGTCTGGTTTGTCCCAGGGTGCTCAGACCGGGAGTGCTTCTGTCTGCTGGGCTAGGCCGGGTGGGGCTGAGAGGTCTGACTCAGTGTTCCCTTTCCCCGCCTCTTCTTCAAAACCCCCAGAAACCTGCCCAGGTGGGTTTTGGGACATCCCACTGTCCTGTGGTCAGAGGCACACAGAGAAATCCTAGACTAATGACTCTGTTCAGGCAGCCACTAGCATTACTAACATTATTCCTGTACTTACACCACCCTGGGACTTCATTTTGGTTTCTTGGAATAAGTCAATCAGTCACTCCTGGGAAGAAAATCCTTCCTGGGGTGGTAGTGGGGGCCGGGACAGCAGCCGGGTAAGGGAAGCTGTGTGCTCCCAGAAAACCACAGCCACAGCCCCTGACCACCCTGCCAACCTCCTAGCACCGCTGCCACCACTGCCCTTGAACTGTAGCATCGCCTTGCCAGGTTCTGTGGTGGCAGCGGCCTCTCCCCCCAACCCCATCCTCCTCCTCTGGGGGTGGCCCTTTGTTTGCAAACAGCAGCGGGAAGTTTTGACGCTGCTGATTAACCAGACTCCCACAGCTCCCGGTACTTAGTCATCAGCACAAGTCTCAACCTTCTGCCTGCCCTGCTGACATCACCAGCTTCCAAGTGACAGGGAAGGAGTGACTAGGATCCCTGCAGTTTCAGTGGCTTCCATCTGCCATCTTCTAGGGGAGGAGGGGGATGAACCTCCACTCACCCCGAGCAACCAGAAAGTGCACGGCCTTAAATACCAGGGTAAGAATTTAATCTAATTTGGTTTAGCTTTCATCTGCTGAGCAACGACTGTGTACCGACCATAGGGCTAAAAATCTCTTTATGTACAGAATTGCCTTTGATGTCATTTAGTCCTCACAACATGTGCAGTCAGTTATTACTATTCCCATTTTACAGATGGAGAAACTGAGGTACTATAAGAAAGGCCAGAGGGAGTCCCATGAAAGTGTAGGGGGCCACCATGGAAAGGCAGTTTGGGGTACTAGAAAAAGTGAGTAATTCAGGGCAGGAGCTATGTCCCCAGCCCACTGTGTGACCATGAGCAGATTTCTTCCCCTCTCTGGGTCTCATGGGTAAATGAGGAGGGTAGGCTGGTGACCTTCCCAGCACTACAGCCACAAGGAGGTGAATGGGCCAATTGGAATGGATGACCATAATTCCGAGATTCTGCTCGCTGAAGGCCTGGCCAAAGGGAGGGGTAACTCCATCTCAGTACCCGGGGCTCTGGCTTCACTACTTACAGTTGCTTTACCAATGAACACCAGCAAAAGAAAGTAAATTAGTGGTTGCCAGGGGCTGGGAGGTGGGAGAGAGAATGGGAAGTGACTGCTAATAGAGCTTCTTTTGGGGGGATGACATGTTCTAAGATTAGATTGTAGTGGTGGTTGCACAGCTCTGTAAATATACTAAAAACCACTGAATTGTACACTTTAAATTGGTGGTATAGTATGTTAATTATATCCCAATAAAGATCTTTAACAGATGAAGGAAGGAAGGAAGGGAGGGAGGGAGGGAAGGAGAGAGGGAGGGAGCCAAGAGGGACGGAGAGCTACACAGAGGTCGGGCCAGGGCAGCCTTTGGGATTTGCTATCCAGGAGTAGAGTCCTCAGCCCCCAGCTCCTTCCCAGTCATCCCCCTCCAAGCACCCCCACTCCAGAACCCAGGAAAGGTCTTGTGAAGACACCCAAGTGGCAGGCGATGGCTCCAGCTGCTGACCGAAGTGGTGTGTTGACAGAGTGGAATGGGGGAGGCTGGCAAGAAAATTGATGAAGACCAGAGCAGGAGAGACCCTGTGAATCAGGGCGAGCCGTTGCTCAGATGGGGAGGGCCTGGAAACAGAGTCTGGACTGGAAACATCGGCTGGCCAGGGGTGCTCTCAGTTGCTTAGAAACATGTAGCGCTCCAGAAAGTGTGAATAAGAAATACCTGCTGCTCCTAGGGCCCCCCACCAACTCTACTGCCATGTCTGCTTGGCAACAGTGGGGGATGCAGATGGACGCAGCCCTCCCAGAGACCATGAGCCAGGTGCACAGGTGCAGGGGATCCACAATGAGGGCAAAATTGGCCAATAAGGGGCAGGAGCTCATTCCCATCCCACTGTTAGGACAACTTACTCATACTGCTGAAATAGCAGAATCCCAGAAGGTCTTGGAGGCACAGCTTCCTGCCTAAGTCTCCAAAGGCAGACAACCCAGAAAGCACCCCCACCCCTTGCCAAGCCGAGCCCCCTGTCCACATAGGCATGGCCTCTTCACACCCTCCTGCTGGGGCAGATGGCGCTGCGTGGCTCCATCCTAAGTGAACAAAGGGAGACTCTAATCACCTTGTGAGAGTCCCAGCCCTGGGGTCAAAACCATGTGCCTGCCAAGAGCCTGCCTGGCAATAAGTAGGATTTTGCTCTGCTCTGAAGCAAACCTCCTGCCTAGCTTCCTGCCTGACGGCTCACCCCAGCGGGCTTGGTGTCCTCCCAGCCTCTGCAGCATGTGCCTTCACAGGGAAGAGACCTGGGGACTCAGGAAACTCAAGGCACCTCTGGAGTCACAGCCCAAAGACAGAACCAAATGCTCTCCTGGGCATAAAAGCCACACAGTGCCTGGGAGGTTGGCCGAGCCAGAGGGCTTTGTGGGCACATTGGCCGTGTTCCTCCTGCTGTGAGGTAGACATGCTGCTTCTGGCCCCACTCTATGGATTTGACCCCAGGCAGGCTGGCTCCCATCCAGGTCTTGAACCACTGCACCATACCGCCTCTCGAGGGTACAGTCAGTGGGGTCCTTGTCACTGTGGGTCACTCCTCAGCATGCATTCTTCGCCACTTGCCTGCAGCCCCCTGCCCAGCCTTCTCTCCCACTGACCCCTCCGATTCACCCTCTTTCTGGTCCTTGGGTTTACCATGTGTTCCCGCCTCCCTCCGTTGCACTCACAACCTTCATGACAACAGCCCACTGACCTTGAGGCCCAATGGAAATATCACCTCCTCTGTGGAGCCTTCCTGACACTGACTGCCCAGTCAGAACTCCCCCAGGACTGCCTATCCTTTCCTTACCTCACCTAGCACTGGATCAGGGATAGCGGGGGGCTTGCCGGTCTCCTCCACTAGACTGGCGCTCCCTAATTCAGACTGCCATGCTGTGTGACTTTGGGTGAGGCACTTAACCTCTCTAAGCCTCAGTGTCCTCATAAATGGTTGATATTTATTGAGCACTTACATGTGCCAGGTACTTTGTGCTAAGTTCTTTATGTGCATGGTCTCATTTAATCCTTGAAGCACCTATGAGGTGGGTTATAGATGAAGAAACTTATTACTATTATCCTGTGTTATAGATGAAGAAACATCGCTATTGTTAGGAGCACCAGCATTATCTTTATCACTATTCTTTCTGTTTGCCACAAAGCCTAGCATGCTGCAGACATTCAAACTCAGGTAAGTTCGGATATGATGGAAATGAGAGGAGCCTTGGATAGGAAGGAGTCCCAGAAACAGAGCCCTGCACATGCTCTGAATGCTCAGGCCTAGCCCTGTCCCAGCTGAGGTGATACCATCTCTGGAGCCTGATGCTGGCAGAGTGCTGTGGCTGGGGACCTGGGGTGGCCTGCTTTCACTTCTCTCAATCAACACAGAAACAGACTCTGCCCAAACCAGCCCTGCAATACACAGAGCCCCACAGCAAACAGGCCAACTGGGTAAATGGTGAGCAAGGCTCGGGGGTCCTGGAAGACTGACTGGAGGCAGAATTTGTGCACATTTGTAACCAGAGTGCTGTGGAATTGGTTTTGCCAGCTTAAGGGCACAGGTGCAGGGTGACCTGCATCTCTGTGCTTCAAGCTCCAACACACCCCAGTGTTTTCTAGGATCCCCTCCAAACTTTTCCCAGAAGCCTCAGGGCCTGCTTGCAAGAGTCTCTGCCCATCATCCCCCAACCTGGCCAACCTGGGACCACATCAGCACCTGGCCTGACTCTTCTACCAGGATGGCCTCCAAGACCAATGCTGACACCTGAGGCCCCCTCACCAGGGAGGCTGGAAGTACCCCAACAAGGGCGCTGTGCCTGATGTTGGAAACATAGGCTCCAACATCAAATGTGAGATGAGCATTCCTGAAAAACACTCCACTCGGGCCTGGGAGAAGGGAAAAAATCATCTCTCTGCCCCCTCAACTCCGACCAGCCATGGCATGTCCCACAGCAAAGTTGCCTGGATTTGTGGTGTCACTGAGTTCTTCTGACTCACCACAAATACCCCAATCCCCCTCCACGACCCCTTTCCTGCCACTTCTGCACCTCGGGCACACATGCACTGGTTGGCACCTGGATTAAGCCTGTGCCCTGTGGCCAGTGCACAGTGTCCATTCATGACAGACTCAGCGGCAAACAAACTTTTACATCCTGGAACTTCAGCTGGGGTGAGGGTCTGCAGCAGTCCTGTCCGTTCTTCCCTGAGGCTTCCTTGGTCCTGATGTAAATTAGTGGCCATAAATAGGTACCCACAGGAGAGGATGTGGTCAAACCCTCTTACCTTGAGCCATTTGACCTGAGACTCCAGGTTATTCCACAAATGTGCCTACCTCAAGATGTTTGGAACATGGGAGGGGAGAGCACCCCTACTTCTAATAGCTCCTCATGTCCTCCCAACATCCTCATTCACAGGTGAGAAAACCAAGGCCTCCCAAAGATGAAGTAGCCAGACCAAGGAAAGTGCCAGAACCAGGTATTCTGAGGCCATTTCTCTCCACTCCCTGTAAAGCTCTCTCTCCTCCCTTGAGTGGAGAACCTGCTTAAACCCAAGCCATGACACTCCTTGCCCGAAACCCAGAGACCATGACAAGGCCCCAAGGGAGTCAGATCTGTCTTCAAGCATCTTTAGGATCCCAGGGGCCTGTCTCTCCCTCCCTTCCTTTTGAGGAAGGCCTCAGAAGACCCGCCTGTGGTCGCTGAGCAGAAGCTGGGCAGAGAGGCAAGGGTTTTGGCCGCCACAGAGGAAACTCTGGGCTCAGAACTGCCAAAGTGAGTCACGGGCCTTGCTGGGTAGCAGCTGACGTTCCTCGTCTACGCATTACGAAACCGCAACAGGCTGTGGAGTGACAGCCGGCTGCTCTGAGTGTTGGAGGAATGTTGCTGCCAGACAGGTTTATGAGGCATCTGCTGAGTTGTGCTCCAGAAACCAGGCTTGGGCTGTTGCTACACCAGGTGGCCTCCCAGGAGGCTACAGCCACAGGCAGCTACCACACCTCTCTTCAAGGACTCATGGAGGACCCCCGCCCCAAACCTGCAACATAACCCCACTCAAGGACTCCTGGAAGTCAGCTACTGCACCCCACCCCAGCAAGATTTGGGGCCAGGGAGGATGAAGGGCTCTCTCCCAACCAAGTCTATAGCCATCACGACCTACCGTGAACCATAAATAATGCTATGAATGATAATTATAATAACTGCTAACCTTTATACAGTGCGTACGACATGACCAGTACTGCAACTTTGGGTACTTTTTCTGGATTATTTTTATCTGGATTATTATGTGTATTTGTTTCCTGTAGTAACAAATTATCACTGACTGGGTGGCTTTAAACAACAGAAATTTATTCTCATAGTTCTGGAGGCTGGAAGTCCAAATTCAAGGTTTCAGCAGGGCCACGCTCCCTCTCAAGGCCGTAGGGAAGAATCCTTCCTTGTCTCTTCCAGCTTCTAGTGGTTGCTGGCCATCTTTGTTGCTCCTTGTCTTGTAGACAGATCACTCCATTCTCTGTCTCTGTCTTCACATGGTGTTCTCCTCTCTGTGTCTCTGTGTCCAGATTTCCCTCTTCTTAGAAGGACACCAGTTATATTAGATCAAGGGCACACTCTAATCCAATATGACCTCTGTATCCAGCTTTAATGACCCTATTTCTTTCTTTTTTTTTTTTTTTAAAAAGATGATCAGGGGCCGGCCCGGTGGCACACTGGAGAGTGCGCCGCTTGGGACTGGCGCTCCCGCCGAGGGTTCGGATCCCATGTGGAGACCGGTCCCGCTCACTGGCTGAGCGCGGTGCGGACGCAACACCGAGGGTTGCAATCCCGTTGCTGGTCCCCGGTACGGGCGCGACACCAAGGGCTGCGATCCCGTTACCAG